GTATACTATTTCATCATCACCAATATAAATTTAAAATTAAATAATGAATATCTATTTTTAATTTGGTTTTGTTCAAGTTTACAAAAAATAATGCTTCTAAACAATAATTTATTATATATTTCATTTTTTGAATAATTAATTAATCTATATATTTTTCTTCAATCAATTTTAAATGAGAAAGATATTTTAAACTATCTTTAATTTAATTTGTTTTTATATCATTTTATAATATTATTGCATGAAGTGTATCAATATTATAAATTATATTTTTAGATATTACTGATATGGGAAAAATAATTTCAATTTTTTATTTTTCTTAATAAAGTTTTGGATTTTAAACATATTTTTATAAAAAAAAATAATATTTATCTTTATTTTTAATATTAATTTATAGTTAATTTATAATTTATGATATTTTATTAGTTCCATATATAATTTGTTTTTAAGTAATTTCGCCTGTATAAATATTTTCGATTCCACATATAAAAAGCTCATTTTTATTATATTATTTTTTCTATATCAATTCTTTATAGTCATCTTAATTAATTGCTTTGTTTAAATTTAAACTCATAAAAAATATTCTTGGAATAAATTTTTTGTACGAAATTATATTAAATATATCTGTCAAATCATATGTAATTAATGTTTTTAATAAATTTACTTTCCCATTTAATAAACAACTTATATAATTATAAATTATGTTCTTCTTTGTCTCCATTTTTTAAAATTCCTCTTATGAATATTCAAGCCATTATATATTAGAATTTTATTATATTTATGTAGTATTGTATCTTTGTTTTTAAAGTATTTATTCAATATTTTTATTTTACGAATAAATTAAAAAATTGTATTATTGTTTATTTATAATTCTCTTTAGGATTTTATATATTCATTTATTAATATAAATATGTATAAAATTAAAGGTAGTAATATACATCCATATTTTAACTTTTAATGAATATAATTCATTTAATTTATTTTGAATATATATTTTTTTTATTATAAGATAGTTTTAAATTTTTATGATATAATATATAAATTAATTTATATTTTTGAAATAATAATAGATACATATTCAAAATACATATTTTGATTGTTTTTTTTATAATTATTGTAATTATTTTCTGATTATAAATATTAAATAAAAAGTTAATCATTTTATAAATATATAATTTTGAATTTGTATTTTTTTATTTTAATATTTCTTTAATCTATTTATTAATTTTTAATTATAATATAAATTTTCAAATTTATTTATATATATTTAATTTAATATTATCATTATGATTATATATTCTTTTTTATTTATTTTACAAATATATCAAAAAACATCATATCATTATTATTCTAAAATTAAATAAATAAAAAAAGACATATATAAGTACATTTAGGAATTAATAGTAAATGGTGGTCAATTGATAGAAATATAATGAAATAAAAAATTATAAAATGTAAATTAAAAATATTTATTTTAAAAATATAAAATTCTAAAAAAAAAGTCTGTTGCAATTACATTAAAGATCTTAAAAAGTAGTATTAGGCAACTGAGTTAGATATTTTTAATAAATTAAAAATGATTTTAATATATATATTTTAAAAATTTATAAATAACATTTATACAAATATTAAACTATTTTTTTTTTCAAAATAATATTTAAAAATAGTAAAATTATAATACACATATAACACTTAAAAAATAAACTAGATATTAAAAAAATTAAATTTTATTAATTTAGTTAAGTATAAAATGAAAATAGTCTAATATAAACTTTTATAAATGGTAAAAATAG